CTCTCAGTAGTCTCTCATACTCCCAGATCTGAACCTCACTTTCTTTATTATACCCCCACCCCCTCAGCATTCTCTCTCATACTCGCACACTCTGTCAGTAGTCTCTCTTATACTCTCCCGCCTTCCTCTCAGTAGTTGCTCTCCCACCTATCTCTCAGCAGTCTCTCTCATTACCTCTTATACTCACACCTCCCTCTCTCTCTTAGTTGCCTCATATACTCTCACTCCTGTCTCTCTCTCCTATCCCCCTTTCTCTCAGTAGTCCCTCTCCCCCCACCCTCTCAGTAGTCTGTCTCATACTCCCACCCCCTCTCTCAGTAGTCTCTCATACTGTCAGTCCTGTCTCTGAGTAGTCTCTCTCTCGAACTCCTCTCCAAGAACGATCTCTCCAACTCCTTCTTCAGTAGTTTCTGTCTTATCCCCCACCCCCTCAGCATACTCTCTCATACTCGCACACTCTTTCAGTGGTCTCTCTTATACTTTCCTGCCTTTCTCTTAGTAGTCTCTCTCATACCCCAACCTCTCTCAGTCGTCTCTCTTATACTCACCCCCCTCTTTCAGTAGTCCCACACTCTCACTCCTATCTCTCAGTAGTCTCTCTCTCCCATCCCCCTCTCTCTCAGTAGTCTCTCTTCTCCCACTCTCTCATTAGTCTGTCTCATACTCACACCCCCTCTCTCAGTAATTTCTCATACTGTCAGTCATGTCTCTCAGTAGTAATCTCTCACATCCTCCCTCTCTCTCTCTCAGTAGTCTCTCTCTCACACCCCTCTCTTTCTCTCTCAGTAGTCTCTCATATTCTCACTCCTCTCTTTCGGTAGTCTCCCAGTAGTCGCTCTGTCCCAACCCTCTCTCTTTAGTTTTACTCTCTCTCAAACTTCCAACCCTCTCACAGTAGTTTCTCTCTCACACCCCTCCCTCTCTCAGTAGTCGCTCTCACTCAGAATCCTCTCTCATTCCCAGCCTTTTCTGACTAGTTTCTGCCCTCACTCCCGCGCACCTCTCTCTCTCTCTCTCTCTTGCTGTCTCTATGCTTTGGTTTTAGAAGTTCGATAGCGATCATTTGTATGCATGTTAGAACTCTATAATAGTAAACGCAACGAACGAAATGTTTCGCAGCTAAAATAAACACCAACAAAGAGAAGGAAGCCCTTGAGGAATTGCAGGTTAAAAATAGCACATCATTTAAAACAAGACAATAACAGCCATAGAAGATTGTGCGAGTATAGAGTAACAGGTAAAAAAATTATAACCTTGTAATAAATGCCGCAGAGATTCCACGTACCTCGGATATCGTCTGCTGCAGCAGGAACTGACGTCATTAGACAGGTCGGCCCAGTTTCGAGTAGGTAACCCGAGGTTATTGTTGTCAAACACAACTGCACTTGGTTTTTGTGGAATCTAGGCACATACAGTATGACATTGGGTTCTTTTCTGTCATTATACCACATCTTGGGCCCCTCGAGATTTGGTAGGGAAATCCTCAGAACGTCCCATAGTAGTAGTCGATATTCATTTAACACTAGCCCTACCCCCCCCCCCTCATACTATGTGATCTCCTAGGGATTTCCCTACCAAATCTCGAGGGCCCCGAAATGTGGTGAAATAACAGAAAAGAACCTGAAATTGTTTCCGTCTGGAAACTTATAACCACTTAGGTATGCTTCATGCAGAGTGGCAAGCATCGCTTTGGAAGTACTAGGTAGTTTGCGTCATTTTGTTATTGTCTCCAGGGTATACATCTGTGCTGAGAAACGAACAGTCAGATATACTGGCTCGTTATGCACCACTTGGTGGTTTATTGCAGCATGACAAGCTAGATGTTGCCAAGGCCCTTTGGGAACGAGGGAACAGTGCTAAAGCACAAATATATCATCACGGCCTGAAATGAATGGTGCAGCTGGGAATGTCCGGGAGGTGATCAGGGTACATGACCGACACTTAGCAGTCAGGGTAAAGCAAACGGACATATACAACCACGAGATGGGGTGAACAGAAATTATAATACCAAATGAATGCTGTGGTATAGGTTCTTAGTTCATCTCAGCTCATCCCACCTAGAAGCCCTTGTCTGTCGTGTGCACCTGTCTTCCATGTGCACGTGTCTGTTATGTGCAGGCAACTTCCGTGTCACCTGGCTGTTTGCCTCATGCACATCACTATCCAATTTCTACTAGTTAGTGGAATTATTGGCCTGGTCTTACACTTTTAGTGGGATAAAGGTGTTGTTATTTTTACCTGCTCAAGTAGGTTAAGTGGTCTCAACAACTCTAGCCCGAGAGCTCCAGTCAGAGAAACGCTTCTACAGCTCTCACCTGCATGTCTCGTCTTTTCACCTGAACAGGTGTATCGGTGCTACTCACCCGGGGCCGTGCGGCTCGTTCTGCAGCCGCGGAACTTTCGTACTGGAAGGCATCGTTTCTGACATCATGTAAAGAATATTTACAGCGACATTTCCGTAACACCTTCAATAAGTTGGGAACCGTATTAACAGACAAAGACATATATCGCTCAGCTCCAGCTAATAGATGAATGTAGCAGTTGTGGAGCGTCGGCAAGCTCGGGGAGTCTGTGGTACAGTTCCTTATCTTATTTAGGCTATTTAGGGCTGTAGGGGGCGCGGGCGTCTCTCGTTGTCCGTACGTCTGTTTGCCTGTACGAACGGACCCAGATCTTTGGATACGGCTGTATTATGATGGAAGAATGTGGCCATAATTAGTCTCCCAGCTCTCATATTGAGACCATATTGATCGTCTCCCAAAACGCATGTAATATTGAGAGTTTGTAGAGTAGCTATGCAGAAGACTTTTCGGTTTAGCGAGGAATAAGGAATACTCCTTGAGAGTTATGTTATCACAGTTGACGTCTTTGCCCATTGGGCATTCCAATGCGAGCTTGGTCCTCCGATGCAGCAGCCACTCTAAGGTACCTGTACTGATTGTTCCCATGAGAAATTGGTTGTAGTACCTCCTGTCTTTACCTCGAAGACGGCTTAGACATGCTTCACCAAGCCTAACGCCTCGGCCACACAATCACGTTAGCGTCAGAGACTCAACATTATCTCCCAACCTAGTCCGTACACCGTTGATGATATCAGCTCTGTCCATCCTCTCGTTTGCATTGGTGCATTACTTGCCAGCTGGCCAGCTCTTTCATTACCACTTACGCCTGCGTGCCACGGAGTGTAGATACAGATGATAGAGATAACCTGCGTTTCCGAATGCCTTCTATCCGTCCAGAGCATAGACTACCGGTTACCGCATGTATGGCTGCTTGTTCTGCTACCCGTGTGAATGCTCTGGAAGCAGCAGATCTTCACGGGCAAGCTTGACATAGTTGTCCGGTAAGCGCCGCAATCCTTTTTTTTTTCCTTTTCTAAAGAGTAATCACGATATACAGATTGTAATGTACTCTACCAAGAGTTTCTTGAGGCGGGCGGGTCTTCTGGATGGTGTCGACCCATTCTAGTCGCAGAACGATCATTGAGTCTGTCACTGTCGATGCGTGGGTTGCTTTCTGTTTCGCTAGCCATGCACGTGTCCCTTTGACAGTTGTTGTCTCCATCGTCATGCTAGAAGTAGTTGCACTGAAAACCTAACTCTTATTATACAGGAATGTAACAATTTTTCTGTGACATACAAATTCACAAGTTCCCATGTTCTTATTTAGGTATCACGCGAAATAGTCTTAGATTCTAATCTTTATGTTGAAAACGAGAGTATAATTTTTTTCTCGAACAATATGATACAGGAAAATAAAATAATGACAGTTTGAGAATGTGATATTAATTTGTTTAATGAAAATCGAAAAACAAACCATTTCACGACTGGTATCATTTGTGTGTGTGCGCGCGCGCGCATGAATTCTCTTTGCCAGCCAGCATCTACCTGTCAGCTGTTGTTATTGTTGTAAGGCACTTTTGTGTATGTCTCAGCTTTCTGCACACCATTTGCTTGAAAGCATTTATTATATGTATTCAAAGTGCAGTAAAGAACAACGAAATAATGAACCTAAATGAGTTGAACTGGTCAGCAATAAACTGATCACAATAAACCACAATCTCAAAATAAGCGTTTCGTCTAGAAATCTCTCATCAGCATATAACACACAAATAATGATACGGCTATATACACTAATAGAATAATTTAACATAATATTTCGATGAAGCTTGTAAAAATATCCAAACACTCTTGGTTTTAAAAAAAAGTTTGCTGGAGTGCTGTCCCATTAGTAGTCATGAAGACAGGCAAATTTTAAAAAAAAACGTAATAATAGTTACTGTCAACAGTTTTTTGCTAGGTAGTTTATCTCTTGTGCATGATTATTATCCATGTTGTACTTAATGTAAATTGAAGAGTTAAATGTACAGGAAAGCTAGTCTGTGTGTGGGAATGGTGGCTTGTTCATTCACAACTGTCCCACCTTCTTACTGAGGTGATACATCCATGTTTCTTCTGATTTGTTTGGTCACATACACGCTGACGAGCACGATGAAGACGCTGCTGTCAGAGAGAAAGGGGTCGCTGCAATATCTTTTTTTGCCTTCACAAGTGAACTTGTGGCTCTTCACCCCCCACCCCCACACACACACTTATGCATATACCGCGGTAAAATATGGCAATCGCAGGCAGTTAAATACATTTATATTGTAATAAATTGTTGATTACATATTTTCTCAGACTAAATCTAGTTTATATGTTCTTTAAAGTTTGAATGTTGTACTGCATCGAATTTTGTTGTGATTTCAGTGTATTCGTATTGTGGGGTTTAATATTTGTTGTTTCTTAGTGTTTGCATTCTTTCTTCTCAGTATGAATTGAACATATACATGTGCCTGTTGTATCAGAGAGAGAAAGATAGATAGATAGAGAGAGAGAGAGAGAGAGCTTGTTTTGTCCCACGAAATCGAATATATATGTTTCAGATTATTGCCGGTATACAATGTGTCGAGTTTATGTATTGCTGATTAATAATCTAGTTTGTCTTTTGTATATTTGTAGATTCCAGTTCCCTTTATTGTAAGTAATGGTGACTCTATTGTTTGAGGACGTTGTCTTCTTTGTGGCATGCTAGCTAGAGGAATGCATAATTGATCCAGTACTAACACGAGACGCTTTATGCAGCGACTACGTTCGTACATGACACGAGCTGCTGTCTGTTAGAGGGCATGTAAGGATAACTCAGTAATGACACTGAAATAAACCCGCGCTCCCTCAAATGTTTTTAGAAGTGATTCAAGAAGGCCAACGTGCAGCTGTCTACTTTATCTTGGTAAATGATGATGATGAAGTTGAACCCCACCCAGGACATCACACCGAGCGATAAACACCCGGTGACACCAACTACCAGCATGCGGATGAGGATCACCCGGGGACAGGTCCCAGAAACCCCCTTTCAACCCATAGGTTTAGTTATATATTAGGGCCCCCGGCAACAGCCGGAGTGGGGCTTTAAAACAACAACACAATTGTGTCCGACAGTGGGAGTCTAGTATTAGGCATGAAATGTTAAATGGATCACGAACTAACCTTCATAGAGCTGGGTGTGAGTAGATTTAGGGTTGATACTCCATAAGAAGACAGAAGCAGTAGCAGCGGGACATAAAAAACGAATAATAATAATAATAATAATAGATTAGTGCTTCCCCTGATTAATATATATATATATATATATATATATATATATATATATATATATATATATATATATATATATATATATATATATATATATATATATATATATATATATATATATATATATATATATATATATATATATATATATATATATATATATATATATATATCCATACACGCTGGGGAACAAAAAGAAGTCTGCTAGAGTGCTGTCCCAATAATAGTCATGGAGACATGACGATTGAAAAACAGTATTTATATAGTATACTTATTTCTAGGGCATGATTGTTCATATTCCGACGGTGTTTCTCTTTTGCATAATATTTTTTTTGTTTCGTTTCTGTTATAACTGTTGCTAGACGTTTATGTTCCGCGTGTGTTTTGCAAGACACTGTGAACATTGAAGGGTTAGATAGATTAGCTTTCCCTGACTTTGCCTTAGTGGGTGTGCGGAAATACTGCCATATTTTGATGACCAACCGGCACTTTGTGAAAGGCGTGGGCAGTAACGCGCAGACCGCCTTTACTTCTGATGTCATCTACTGTACTAACACATAGAGATATTGGTTTGACTTTGTTTGAACTGGATGTGTATACCTGGGTTACTCAGCTTGCAACCTTTCTCAACTAGCAAATTGATCAGCGACCAACGCATCATGCTTGCACTTTTGCGCATTAAAAAAAAGCACTGTAGCGGCAAAAAAAAAAAAAAGTTGGAGTGGGGTGGGTGTCTTTGAGCCGAAGGACTGAGGGCCGCATGGCTAGTGCTGTCGCTACTGACTGCAGGTTAGGATGCTATTGTTGTCCCTGAACCTACATCCTTACTGAGGATTTTTGAAGACTTGAAATGGCAACAGCCGCGGTGTCGCAGCTGAAAAAATTTGGAAGAGCAAAATCAGCATCGCAATCAAGGTCAATACTTACACATCACTGGTGTTGTCTATTTTGTTGTAGGGATGTGAGAGTTGGACTCTCACTGTGATATAGCAGATACGGCAACAGCCGCGATGTCGCAGCTGAATAAGATTTGGAAGAGCAAAATCAGCATCGCAATCAAGGTCAATATTTACACATCACTGATGTTGTCTATTTTCTTATACAGATGTGAGAGTTGGAAACTCACTGTGGAGATGAAAAGGAGGATTCAGGCTTTCGAATGTAAATGCTACAGACGCATTTTACGAATTAGTTAGGGGGGTGGGGGTGGAGGGTAGTCGAAGAAGGGGAGGGCAACGAAAAATCAGGAATGGCAATGAAAAACCAGGAATGGCAACGAAAAACCGGGAATGGCAACATCAAGAAATGGACACAACTAAGTTATCATACACTTATTCATCAAGCAGAAGACGGAGAAAGATGGTAGGTTTTATGTGCTAGTGCTTCCAATGATACACCTCCACGACCATAACGGGTCAGGGGTTATGTTTAGTTACCGAGGATTCAGCCTGGTTGTCCCGTATCAGAGCTCAGCGTTCTTAACCGTTCTTTCTTTCTTTCTTTCTTTCTTTCTTTTTTCTTGTAGGAGAAGCATTTAAAAGACCCTTGCTGCATTGTATCAAATGCAAAGAGGCCATGAATGCTCTAGAGCAGAGCTATTCAACTAAGTTTACTCAGGGGCCAAAATGTTGGATCATCAGGGGCCAGAAGCCAAAGTCCCACCATAGAAAGATAATTAATACAATACAACTGGCAATGATCTCCGGGCCACCTGCTAGGCCTTCGCGGGCCAGATTTGGCCTGCGGGCCACCAGTTGAATAGCCCTGCGCTAGAGTGACATACTGTATTTTAACCAAACGGCTAGAGGGCTGATGTTTTATTCCCTAGAATTGGGACTAGCCTTTTGGCAGGACTCTGTGGACAGGAACTGGCGACTGGACCAGGAGTGCTGGACCAAAGAAAACTATGTAGGGGGGGGGGGGGGGGGGGGCTGTGTACTCGGCCAATGCAGATTTCCCCATGGAGGGTGGGAAATCACCATGTTATAGTACTTAATAATATCATTAATATATGATTAATATTCTCAGACCAAACGTTAACTATATATTAACACATTGTGTGTTGCTTGTTAAATTTGGACAGCAGCTGACGACACGTGGTGCGTTGCGTGGGACATAAAGAGTTAATACTCACTGTTTTGTAGAGGACATGAATAACTCCTTACTATTGCCAGTTGCTATTTTGCTGCATGAACCACACTTAGTGCAACACAGGCTAGTATATGATTCAACAACATCTAGTTTGAGAATAGAGGTGGCGGCGGTCACAGCAGCTTTCTGCTGTCTTGAAAACCAGCCGCACAGACATATTATGATTGTAACAGACAGGCATGCTCCATACAGAGTGGCAAGCATAGCTTCAGAGGTGCCGGTAGTTAGCATCGTTTGGATGCGTGTGCAGGTTTATTGGGAAATGAATGGGCAGCAAATGGGCTGATTCTCCGCCATTGGGTGTGAATTGGTGCATGAAAAGCTATATGCTGTCAAGGCTGTTTGGGAGCAAGTGAATAATGCAGGGGCATGAATAGACCACTATGGTCTGAAAGAGTGTTGCACCTGGGAGTAACCACGGGGTTTGATCCACACTCAGAGAAAGGATGAGGTGGACATATAATCAGTCTGTTACTGGCACCAGCAGAATTGGACTTTTTCACTGACTGCTGAAGATGAGATTGGAGCGCCCATGGGAATGTCCCGAATACTATGATGTCATTTCCTAACTCAGCTCAGCTGCTTGATTGCATGCACACAAACACGTTTATTTTTATGAAAATGCATATTTTGATATGGCTTTTGTTTGTGTTGTTTTTGTATATGTACTAGTGCAGGACTGTTAATCTGGTGACCCTTTGACGGAATCATCACTGCCAATTGTTTTGCATTAATGATCTTTCCACCCTGGGACTTGGACTTCTGGCTTATATCTATCTATCTTTGGCATTTTGATCCCTGAGTAGACTTAGCTGAGTGCATAATAAAGGAGAACAGTGTTGGCCACAGCAGGATATCACAGTACAAAATTAAAGACAAGCACTATTATGTTGAGACTGTGCAGAGAAACAACAAACTTCTAGTCTCTGAGTTTATGGCTGATAGATTTTCCTTCTGCTGGATTGTAACATAAACTTTTCTGTGTTTACATTTTGTACTAGTTTGTAGCGCTGAAAACCTAGACTTTATGTTGTTGCTATTGTGTTTAGATATTATCTGTTTGTCTCTATGCTGCTGTTTCTACGTAGTTCTGTTGATACATATATTGTAGTATTTCGAATTGCATGTATTTAACATGGTTTTCATTGGAGGGCAGAGCACAAGGCAACACTAGATTTATAACAACAACAACACATAGTATTTCTGTGATGATAAACTTGTGACATGATAATAAGCTCATGTGTTCCAGTGTTGTTAATAGTGTGATAAGTTTCTGCTTGTTGTGAATTTAGACAGATACTAGTTTTTAGCATGTGTACATGTGTGTTTATTAGAACATATTCATTGTTCACTCAGAAATAAGATTTGGAGAGACCAGCCACTAGTGGATTTATTTAGAGTGCTGTTATGCTACCTGTACACATATAAGATGCTTATATCTGGCAGTTGTCATAGAATTACAGCCTGAAATGATTCTTAAATACAGTTAAAAGTCGAGATGATAAACTTTTTTGCACCAGGTTTGATATCAGTCTCTCTCTGGGGAATGACAGTCGCATGCCAAGAGCGTGGCACAAAAAACACAAACTTCATAGCTCCAATGATGATCACCAGGGATCTCAGTAAAATTGACTTGTGAACAAAGGGCGCAGCCATGAAACGTGCCCTTCATGTTCAGAGTATTAAGTGAAACGACTTTGACCGATTGATGTCAGTCTCATGTTGCTTGGTTGTTCTTTTTCTGCCTTTCATCGACCAGTGGAACATAAAACTTCAACCATGACACATATCTATCCACTTGAGAAGTATAATTAGTCAGCTTCACAAAACCATGATTATGTTATATACAGTTATACACAATGAGCAGCAAGTCTAGAAAGACTCATCAAAATATGAAACACATGAACAGTTACACAAACAAGTATACATCAATAAGAGCCCCTAAAGACATTCTCTGTGGTGAATTAAAGATGGGTAGAAGATGCTGAAGCCGACCTCTTCTATAATATGAAGGTGTGTGCAAACAGGACGTGAATGATACAGATATTGAGGTGGACTCATGGGAACAAAATGCCTCGGACCGTTTGGTGTGGGAAGGGAATAAGAATGAAGGAAGAAATGATTGCAGAAAGGATGAAAGTTAGGCATCTGAGAAGAAACAAAAAATACAAATTCTGACAACAGTAGTCCTGAAATCCCCTGCTATAATTATGCCTGAGAAAAGCAGCCAG